AGGGAAAAGCAGACACCGTCGGACAACGATTGCTTGGGCGGGAAGCACTTTGGGTTGAATTCATGGATACTTGTGGTCCTAAGATTTATTTGTTTGGTTCCAACATGAACACCAGAAAACCAAGTTGTGCAGACCACCTGCGGGCTATGTTTAGTGCGTCTGCAAGTTCAAATGGCCGCCTGATCGTTCGAACTGTCGTCTGCTCTTTCAAACGCTTCTACTTGTCGTCTACTCTCTTAGACGACGCCGGCCCGTAGACCAAATTGGGCCCGGTACTTGCGATAAGAAGTAAGTGCAGGCCTCAAAAGACTTAAATTTGATGGTTGGTAGGCAGGCCCGATGTAAACAGTAGATACAAGGAGATGTTGATCACTCTGACCAATGACCATCACCGACTTGTTATGCCTAATTCACTTTGTCCGATTCTGCTTGCGATTTTCAGTATCGACGTAGACCAGTGGTCGGCAACCAGCAGCCCGCGGGCTGGATCCGGCCCGCACCTCCCAGCCCTCCTGCACCTCCCCCCCCCCAACGCCGGTGAGCTAAAAAAAATAAAAAAAATAAATGCAGTTGACCTTTTCCCCTCCTTTCACCAATCTCAGAGAGGCCGTGGAGGCTCATCTTTTCCCTTTCTGCCGGATGTAAACAATGCTCCGAGGGCATTCCCCAATCTCCCGACCCAGTGGCCTTGTTGGCAAGGGCTCTTCTCAACCCCGCTCAGGGGACGGTGACCTGCTCTGTGGTACACCGTGCTCTGCGGTTAGCGGGGCTCGCGACACAAAGCACAAAGACCGATGCTGCCTTCCGAAAAGTCGTCGAAGCTGGATGAGACATCGGGGAGCTCCTAATTGGAAAGCACCAAGGCTGGCGGGGTCGAAAAGCTACTACCTCTCAGAGGGGATCTTTCGCGCCATCCCTACACAGGGGAAGAGAGGAGATCTCCATGATAGTATATGCAGGCCGCAGGCGTTGGCTTTTACTTTTTCTCTCTGTGTTCTCGGAGTTGCCGTGTCGTCCGCGGTTTCCTGACACTTTGCTTTACTTTGTAATTTTTTTCTGGAATTTCACGGACGAAGGTTGTGCCGCGATTCGATGGGTAACCAGCCGTATTCAAAACAGAGCCACGTGCTTGTCCTTAGCCAGGTATGTGGCTTGACGGAGCTGAGCTACAGCGGGAACACAGGGGGGAGAGGGGGGGGTGCAGGCATTGTTCAGTACGCACGCACGGGAACTCTGCATATTGCCCAGCACCCCCAGGGAAATGTCAGCGGGTGCTCACGCCCCGGTTGCCCCTCCCCCCCGGTTCCGGGGTCCCTGTCTTTGTGACAGTCACTTGCAAAACTCGTTCTGATTGGATACTTGCTACACGACCAATCAGAACAAAGTCACTGAGGGCAAAATGGTGCGCACTTTGCTTGGACTCAATAGAACAGCCACTCCTTTGCGTCTGTTCGGGCAGTCCGGTCGTCTCAAGGGCCCTATCGACAACTTCAAAAGCAAGTTCCAACATTACCTGTTACTCACATAAATGTGTTTTCTAGAATTTGCCTTCATAACAGGTTATCTTCTTTCTTTTTTATCTTCAGACTGTTCGTCTGCAACATGTTACTGTCTAAATGCGGCAAGAAGCAAAAAATAGATTTGGAATGCCGGACATTCAATGATCATGAAGGCAAATGATTATTTGTTCAACATAAGGATAAGGCGTTATGCCTCAACTGTAAAGAAGCGCTTTCAGTATTCAAAGAATACAACCTGCGTCGACACTACCAGTCCCACCATCGCGGCAAGTACGACGCTCTGATGTCAGGAACCAAAGCCGCGAGGATCGAAAGTTTGAAGAAGAGCCTGGGCATGCAGCAAGACGTCTTCAAGAAGAACGTCCAGGAGAAGATGGCTCTGGTTCAGGCCAGCTACCCAATCTCCAAGTAGATCACAGAGAGTGGGCGGCCTTTTACAGACTGAGAGTTTGTTAAAAGGTGTTTGTTGACAGTGGCCGACGATCTTTGCCCGGATAAGAAGAATGTATTCAAGGAGCTTAGGAGCTTAGTCTGTCGGCCCACACTGTCACAAGGAGAATCTAAGACATGGGTGAACAGTCGTTGAGTACTTTGAAGGATAGAGCCCGAGCTTGCCAGTGCTTCTCTTTGGCGCTTGACGAAAGCGATGACGTCTCTGATACTGCTCAGTTGCTTATCTTTGTGCGGGGAATCGACATCAGTTTTGAAGTGACGGAGGAGCTGGCTGCTCTAAAAAGCCTGAAGGGCACAACAACAGGAGAAGATGTTTTTAACAAGCTTGCGAGTGCCTGGAAATGCTGCAGCTAAAATGGGAAAACCTCAAAAGCGTAACGACTGGAGGCGCAAGAAACGTGATTGGCTGTACAGCGGGTGTCATCAGACACATCAACTCGGAAATGACACGCCTGGGCGTTGTTGCTCCTATTCATCTTCATTGTATTATCTACCAGCAATCACTGTGTTCCAAAGTGATGCGCTTGGAGTCCGTGATGAAGGTAGTCGTACCTACTATCAATTTTATTCGCAGTCACGGACTGAACCATCACCAATTTCAACAGTTCTTGTCGGAAACAGAGGCTGAGTAAGGGGATGTCCTGTACCACACAGAAGTTCGATGGCTCAGCAGAGGAAGAGTTTTGCGACATTTTTTTGAGCTTCGTGAGGAGATCGCAGTGTTTCTTCGTGGGAAAGGGAAACCTCTCAAAGAACTTGCTGATCATGATTGGGTGTGAGAGTTGGCACTCCTGGCTGACGTTTCTCAGCACCTGAATGACCTGAATGTAAAATTACAAGGGAAGGGAAACTCGTGTCCGGGATGCTCGCAGACATGAGAGCTTTCGAGATGAAGCTCAGTCTCTCAAAACCAAGCTAGAGAAACTAATTTTTATCATTTTCCTTGCTGCAAGATTTTTGCAGGCGAGACAGCAACGCCACTTACCACGGAATGACTCAGCGAAATCTTGCGCGAATTGAGAAGTGAGTTTGGAAGTTAGGTTTGCGGACTTCGCGAAGCATTCGAGCGACATTTGTTTATTTCAAAATCCATTTAATGCAGATCTTAGCCAGGTGCGAGAGTGTTACCAGATAGAGCTGGCCGATCTGCAAACAGATAATGATTTGAAGAGCGCATTTGAAGCAAACGAGCTTGTTACATTTTATGCTGGTCTTGCGGATTCTACATTCATGAATCTGAAGAGACTCGCAGCCACCATGATTACAGTGTTCGGGAGCACATATGTCTGCGAGCAGACTTTTTCACGAATGAAGTGCATAAAATCCAACATGCGCTCACGAATGACTGACGAGAACTTCCACAATGGTTTGCGACTCGCAGTTAGTAGCTTGAATGTGGATGTCCGCAGTTTGGCGAGCTCAGTTCAACACCAGAAGTCTCACTGAATGGAATCTCTAGGTTTTCGTGGAAATGTGGCATCACATGTCGTGTGTCGTGAAATAAAGAAACTGTTCCTTTTCGATTTATGCACGTCAATGTAAGTTCGTGCAAGTGCTTTTTTATTTTTCATTTTTTTAGAAAAGGTTTTTTCTCCTCCCTCTTCTCGCTGCACACTGCATGGATGGCTTGGATATGCACACATCAGCCAGGCGCAAGCCGCTTCTCTCAGAAAGGCAGCTTGTGATTGGCTGACGCGCGCCCGTTGTCACGCCGCCGGCACCTCCGCTGAATTCTGTGCTCCAGATTTTTCCACTCAGAAAGGGGCGTGGCACGAACTTCGATCACATTTATAGTAGGGGAATAGATGTCGCACCAGCATAATTTTTTAATTTCCGGGATGCTAAGATCCAGTAGAATGAGTTATCACCAAGAAGAGACAATCTCTGAAATGACTTTAGAGCACCTTTCAGGTGAAACAAGTACAGGAATCCAGTTTGGAAACCTGTGCTCGAAACGCAGCTTCTTTAGTGGCACTATCTGGGTAAAGTTATAGGAGACCGGCGCAAGCCATTCCAATAACCGGGGCGCAAAGCCCTCACCAACTCCAAGGTCAGCTCAGTTGACCGAAAATCTCTTTAAGACTCCGAGCTAATTATGGTCGGAAAGGGGCTAGTCATTTACACCTGAAGTCATAAAGTAGTCGCAACAAGTTCTCCCTTGTTTTGATCGATAAAAAAGAAGCCCGTTGAACCCCGATGCCAATGCTAACAGACTGGTAGGTAGACTTAGCTGCAATGCCCCAAAAAAAAATCGCTAAAGAATTGCCTATCAACCTGAAGCAAAACTGTTTCCATAATGTCGTTGCAACTTTCCTCAAATTCAGCTTTGCCCCCAAACTGAAAGGAGGGAGAGTTTCCTCATTTCTGGCTGCTCCTCAGCCTTTAAGGCACTTTCACACATAGTAAATTTGCAGCACTATATCAACACCAGAAACGGTGCTGATGCAGCACAAATTTGGACAACTTCGCACAAATGCAGCATTGTATCAGCACTGTATCACTAATACAGCACAAAGCACTGCATCAGCAAACTCAGTGCTACTTCCAATGCTGACTGTATTCAGCTTCACCTTACGATGGAGTGCAGCAGACACCACGAGCCACCCCAACCAATCTAGTACAACGAACGTGTCACGAGACTATGTGCCCTGCATGTCACTGTGCCCCTACAGAAGGCCACGTGACACTTGCACGGCACTGGACTGGCTTCAATTGCATATAGCATTATGCGCGGCACATCACAAGGCGACGTGGGGGATAATGGCATCGAGGTAGCGCTGCGGTGCATGTGTGAACAAGCTTCTACAGTATCAAGAACAGTTCCATCGTCTGCAGAAGCAAAACCTAACTGTTCAACATTTCGGCGGCATAGAACCCCATGTTGAGGCGCACGTAATGAGCGCGAAATAAAGATAGAAAACAGGTTGACACAGAACTTTTCCATACTGGTAATGCCTGCGAACGTCTGCGAACAATGTCTATTTTAAATACAATAAGCATGCCAATATGAAAGCAGTCTCGACTTACGGACTCGAGATGTTTCAAGACTTGCGCCTTGAGTCCCCCCAAAGAGATGTCTTCTTCGTACTCGAGCTTGTACTGGACATTGGGCACGAGGGTGGCCTGTCAAAAGTGAAGCGTGTTACGGTTAGAGGCCGACTAGCAAAACGGCGAAACTGACTGAACAAAGAAGACATACCTTGCCCATCTTTGTCTTGTTCGTACTGCCGAGGTCTTGCAGGAACAGGTAGTTCTTGTTGAACTCAATGCATGCATGTTCCTTTGAGAGCGCCTGTACGAAAACTGCCTCGTAAATACCACACAAAGAAGCAAATACTAAATGAGCTCGTGGCTCTTTGCGTCACGAGAGACGCTACCTTATGGTCGATGACGATCTGACAGCCCGGAGAGCGACCAATGATGTTCCGGCCTGCCAAAAGCCGTACAAAGGTCAGTTGTAGTTGGAAACCATAGCATGCAAAAATGGATGGAATTCAAGAGACTGCTAGCATCTCTTTTGCTGAAAATTATTTGCACGGAAAGAATATATAAAACCAGTAAATATAAAATACAGTGCGCATCTGTAATGCACACTTAACAAAAGATGTTTCCAATCCAGTTCACACTGATCAACCTAATGGACATTCAAGCCCCTTAGTAGAAATTCAGCTGATCGTCCAGAGTAAAAGTTGAACGAAAATTAGTCACATATCTCAACTTAAATTACATTTTTCTTTCAAGCACGACCGTTTTAGGACAAGGAGTTTATAGATGGCCAACAGTTTTTCTTAGTTTAAAAAAAAAATGTTCCCGACCACATAACTTGTTTCAATATGACAAACAGATGTGACAAAAAGTCAACCCTTCCTCCCAACTTTTTAAGGAGATGCAACAAAAAAGTCTGGTCTTTTTATGGGGTCTCAACAACATTCATGCCATCATTACGACCGGGTGTTTAACAGAGTACATGGGCTAAAATAAAAAAATCCTTCTGTACTCTTACTTCTAACCGCCGCTAGTCATTGTACGCTGTCCACAAAGCTGGTCATTGTAATCTCTACTTCGCCGTCCAGACCCAAAACATTCAGATGTTTATTCGGCCCATCAGAAACAAAGAAAGCACGTCGCAGAGTACATGTAGTTTGTCAAAACAGGACAAAGGCATTGCACGACGCAAGAAAAAGAACAATGGCGCTTTGTATTTCGCAACCAATGAGTTTGCATGACCACCGTACTGACGTTGGCTTCCTTTGCGCGCTTTCGAAGTGAGAGCAAACTTGCGAGTGCCCTGGCTTTACCCTACACCCAGCCAAACAGTTGCAGGGAGGTTGGCAAAGGTGTCACAAACCGTTTCTGAGGACGAAGGTCTCAGACTTGCAAGGCAGCTCGCTCAAGAAAATTCTGAAGACAGCCTGCACCTGTGAGTCGATCAAGTATATGTTAGCCACATCTCTGTTAAGACACTTCGTTGAAAAGACGCGTTCATGTTAGCAACGCGTGTACCATGTACGAGCCTGTGCATTGTTAATTCTCTGGACAATAAGGTTTACTTAGACCGAGCGCTCCAAACAAGGCTTAGAAACCAACCCGTGCAGACAAAAAGAGATTACACAAGCAAGCAAGGAACTTCTATCATAGTAACACTGAACGTAGAAAAACGTTTGAATAGCAGTAGAGTCTTTATTACACGACGTTTCGGGAAGAGACTTCCCTTCTTCAAGTGTGCAGAAAATACAGTTGCAAAGCGTTTTTAGAGAGACCAAAAGGAGAGGAGGAACATTGGGAAAAAGCGAAAGAAAAAAGTCATACATATATAATAGTACAAGTAAAAACACTTGAGCATGAAAAAACTACATTCCAAGAAAACACACATAAAAAGAAAGTGGTAGTTTTAAAGGGAAATCAAGGGGAAAAAAAGGACAGTGTCCTTAATGTTCTGGTTGCCTTTATTCTTTTGTTGGTAGTTCCTACTTTTATGAAAGAATGTTTAGTTGTATTAACATGAAAGGAGTACTTCGGCTTGTTGTGGTCTTATTTACCGTAGAATACCGCGCATTCGCCCATCCCACATTAAGCGCCCATTACCAAATTTGCAAGATCTGAGAAAATATGCACAGTACATTTATATGTAAAATTGATGACCGGACAAGCGCCCATCCCCCATTTGTTTGCGATTATCTTTGAAGTTTGAATGGGCGCTTGCCCGGTATTTTACGATATCCGTTTGACGGTTGGCGCCACACATGTATGGTGGCGATTGCACATTTGTAAGTCCTCACGTAAACACGAAATTGCTCCCGCCCAAGGAGAAGCTACTGTTTGTTATGTCTTTGGGGAACTATAAATGTTGCATTCACATCCTGTTTCGCTTTGCTGGGGCTATTCATAGTTTCAAAACTGGGCACTTGGTGCATGGGATAAGTGTTGGCCACTCTCACCGTAGAGGCAACTGGAGCAGTGGTTCTTCCGATACACTTCCCAGAATTTCATTGATAGGATGAGAGCTCATCATCCGACGGAGAGGCTCCGTAAAGTACCTTCAGTCTGAGACTGCAGGAATGTCGCGGAAGCAACCGTGCCAAAATAAAACCAAATGAAAAAAAATTGGCAACTTTTTGCCCTCAAGATTTCCATTCAATGCTTCTCAATCTGGACAGCTTACAAGCACTGAACGTATTCCCGCTAAATAATTCTAAAAAAAACTTCCTGCACATAGATTATTTTTTGTACTACCCCTTAAAAAAAAAAAAAAAAAGCAATCACCAGGGTTTGTTTTTTGTGAAAGAAACCCAACCCTGCAAGGGTTAAGGACGCCTTTATGTAATCAAACTTTAGTTTTGTTTGGAGTTCCATGTTTGTGTGTGCCTTCTTCCCTTGCTCCACAGTTACCATGTCAGTCTTAAATCAGTTCGCCTGCACTTGAGCTTTAGTTCCAAGATCTATTACAACAAGCCCCCTTTGAAGAAAAAAAAAAAAAAAAGGACCTGTCCCCATTTTTATTTTCTTCGTCTCGGGATTGTCGGAATGGAAGCAACTGATGGCCCACCAACATAACCATACAGTTCTGTTTGCCATTAGCAAACGGAACAACTCAATAAATTAGTGAAGGATGCACCGCTTCAATCAGTGTGAATGTGAAAGCCCCAAAAGGCCATCCCAGTCATCATCATCAATATCCTAGGACAGCTGTTCAGCGACATATTGCCATTCGTTTTGTTAGGCATTCTTAACAACACTTTAGCACCCTTCAAAGGCAGCTGTTAAACCTCAGTTCAACCAAAATTACTCACAATTCTTGTTTGCTAGGATTTGGTTGCTCACAATGCGCTAGTCATTAATATATTGAGGGTGTGTATGGAAGTAAAGAGAAACAGAGGGAGAGACAATACAGAAAAATTATCAGACTAATCTAGGCTAATGGACTTATCTCACTAGAAAGTTCCACAGTCACCACACATCATAGTAACCATAGTCCCTGCGTGCGCAACAACCCCGCCGCAAGTCTGTGCAAGCAGAGCACGAGACAGCACAAGGTGCATCGTGCGCTGGCACCTGCCTCCTGTGGACTACAGTTATGGCGGCATGACGTATGCGTGAAATGCTTAGGCAGCGAGATTGGTCAATTGTATGACTGGACGGCTACTCTCATGGAAGGAAGTCAACCAGGCTACTCCCCGTCAATGTTTTTATAAGCTTTATTCATGAAAATGCCATCAGGCAGTGCTGTTCCATTTGGTACCCTCACAAACTTCAAGTCAAATGGGAGGACAAACAACCCCTCTAAATATTTCTACTTGCAACGTCCATAAAATATTTTATCGCAAATTCACCTGCTGCTTGGCCAAAGGATCAGTTAGCGAAAGATTTGTTTGATAGATTTTAATACTCGCCTATGAATGTTGAATAATGCAGCAGAAAGAACTTGCGAAATCTCCAACTTTATAGTTTCTGTGGCACCTGAGCATCCTATAAATTAGGGCTTAAACAAGCTCGCCAAAATGGGGCAACTGAAGTCGCTTGGAACGAAAAAGACGGCCCACGTTAATAAACATGAAAAAGATCTATTGGAGATGTGCAGGACCAAAAGCATCGCTGCGTTCAGCCTCCCACTATTAGACAAGAGCTCATTATGATGTCTTTAGTATAATTTATCCTGCTTTCATTGATGCAACTAAGGATAATGTCAGAAATTCAAGCTCAACAGTGTTGCGGTTCAGCGTGCAACGACGACAAACTTCCATCATGCTCTTCACACACACCATCGACCTGGTCACTTGCAAATGATAAATAGCCTGGACCACAACTGTAAAATCACAGAGGCGAGACCTGGACATGAAGTCATGAAAGATCCTTGTGCTAATACCGTTTGCTTCAGGTAAAGACAACACAGTCACTGATGTCAGTGACTGCACCGTCTTTCACCTGAAGTCACTGACCGCTATTACTAGAAACTGCTTTTGAGGTATAGTAGCCGTTATTAGTTTAGCAGACAGGTTTGTATTCATTTTTTATAAAGTTTCAACCCTGTCGCAAGACATGGTAGTGTCAGGAGAAACTAAGCTTGGCACAACTCACAATGGAGATACGGCTTGGATTCGAGATGATGTCAGTTTGTATTTAAACATATCCTGAATCTGACAAAAAATCAAGGTTGAAGTAACGTCACTTTTAATCTAAAATATAGATGTGCGCTAAGAGCCGATGTACTGGTTTCATCACCGACGCCTACTGTGTAAATTAAGACTTTTTACATAATTTGAATAGCTCAGGCTTTTCCTTTGGAGATTCACTTCGTATCTAAAACACATGTCCAATGTAAAGACATGTGGTACTCAATTTGGGTCGGTAAGAGAGGAGAATGATCAATCTTAAGTTTCAGCATCGCATTCCTACAATGTTGTCCACAATGCCATGTGCACCCAACGTGCAACCGTTTCTCAACATACGGTGGTTTAGCGACGATACTTTGAATTAGCACCATATAAAACATCCCTCCATTGTGCTACCACAAAGCGCCAATACTCTTGCTTTTATCAAGACGCACTGATTTGGCAACCGAGCTCAGCTCAATGGTGACTGTGCCCATACCCAAACGGGCAGCATGTATTAAATTTTGGTTAAATGAACCTTGTTTCATCTATAGTCTGTCGTAGGTCACGAAAAGCAGACTAAGCTCTTTCCACAGATCACTCCACCCTACCGATTTTAGCAGAACAAACACTGGGAAAGAGGTGAGTGCATAGGAGAAAACCACCTATAATGGCAACCAGAAATCTTTGTGGGAAGCAGAACAAGAGGCACAGACATGCCTTGGTACTCTACGGCAGAGCCGTATATTGGGAGAGTTTGGCCAGTGGGTGTGGCGACGAATGCAACGACGAATGATTTGGCAACCGAGTTCAGCTCAATGATGACTGTGCCCATACCCAAACGGGCAGCATGTATTAAATTTTGGTTAAATGAACCTTGCTTCATCTATAGTCTGTCGTAGGTCACGAAAAGCAGACTAAGCTCTTTCCACAGAGCACTCCACCCTACCCATTTTAGCAGAACAAACACTGGGAAAGAGGTGAGTGCATAGGAGAAAACCACCTATAATGGCAACCAGAAATCTTTGTGGGAAGCAGAACAAGAGGCACAGACATGCCTTGATACTCTACGGCAGAGCCGTATATTTGGAGAGTTTGGCCAGTGGGTGTGGCGACGAATGCGCCGGAGAGGAGAAAAGTAAATGAAAGGGAGGAGAGCGCCGAAGGAGCGAGAGAGAAAGAAGGGAGCAGAGAGGAGACGACCGCCACTTTTGAGCAACGCTGTCGGAGAAGAGCACTGCTGAGGCTACGCGTCGTGTGCTACGGGCCAACTTCTTTTTTGCCTGAATAAAAGTTTGTGGCCATACACCAAAAAATCTTCATTTATTGGCTTTTTAACCCACCGAGGAATAACAGAATGTCATTTTCTTGCCAGAGCTAGCGATATAAAAGGCAATAATCGAGATTTAGATGCCGATCCCACGCATTCCGCCGGGAGAATGATCGAAGATGGCGGCCCTTCCCACTCAGGTGGGAGCAGCCGGGAGTTCACGCGCATGCGCTCATGCCTCTCGCTCTACGCCGCGTGCTGATTGGCTCACTTGGGAGGAGAGCGTTACGGCGGCGAGATCATAGATTGACCAAACTCTCCCCATATACGGCTCTGCTCTACGGGTAGTGTTAGGCATCGCTGACGTCAGGCAAGAGGTGTCACAGAAATGCCCCTCAGATTATGTTGCATTCACCGTGTTTGTGCCGTCGGACGACAAGCTACGAACGGCAATATTCGACCGGTTAAGAGACCGCTACATTGTTTTCCTTCCCTACCTAACCAAATTAGGATGCGAAATTCCCCCAAACCAAAAGGTGCGAATTACTTAAACCG